TTCAATCCCATAAATCAAGCCAATCACCCCTTTAATGCATTGGTCCGTTGGAGCCTTCTTTGGCACTATAAAAAGGGGTGTTTGGGTCTGCTCTTCTCACCAATTCACTTCACAACATCTATACTTTCATTGCTTTCAAACATCATCATTTTCCTTAGCTTTCTAGAGCCATTTTTGTGTGAAGGTTGAGTTGTTCTTGAGCGTACTTAGTTTACTCATAATCTACTCTATAAGAGAGTCTCGTTCTTGAGTGTACTTGTGTTCTTAGACACGTTGAGAGATAGTATCTCTCTCGGTTGATTCAAAGGAAGGTCTGTTTCCTTTGAAGGATTCGTTGAGGTTCGTGTGACTCGAACTCTCAAGTTGTAACGGTTTGTTAAGCACCCGTAAGCTTAACGAGATAGTAGTGTAGCTCGAGAGAGTCTCTCGGGAGGCTGGATTAGCCACAAGTTGTGGTGAACCAGGGTAAAATTCGGTGTGCCTCTTACTCTTCTCTTTACTTCTCTTTTAATTTTTTAATTCCTGCGATTTCTCCAATCAAACGCTATTCACCCCCCCTCTAGCGTTGGTCTATTATTCTAACATTATCCTCTTGCCTTTCATGACAAAAGATTAGGTATTCTTTGGTCCATCATGTATAATGCTACGATCATACTGCCAAGGTCTTCCCAAAAGAATATGACATGCATCCATCTTCACGACATCACACCAGTGACTATCATGATACTTATTCCCAACTGAAAAGGAAACAAGGCATCTTTTGTCAACTGTCACCTCGGAACCCTTGTGTAGCCAAGACAACTTATAGGGTTTGGGGTGGTGTTCTGTCTTCAACTGCAATTTCCGGACAGCTTCATCAGAGACAATGTTGTCGCAACTACCACCATCCACGATCATCTTGCAAACTTTTCCTCCAATGGTGTAGGTTGTGTGGAAGATGTTTGTCCTCAACCAATCGTCTTTAGAATCATCCTTTGGGGCCAGAAGACTCTTGCGCATAACCAAATTCTCTCGACCATCCCCGTAAAGAACATCATCTTCTGCATAATCATTATGGACTGGACCTCCAAACTCTTCAACTTCATCATCGTCAACAACGATGTTCTCCTCCACGAACAAGCTCTTGCTCTTCTGTAAAGCGGGTTTCTTGCATTCATTCGCCCTATGTCCAGGTTCACCACAATGATAGCACTTAATCGTACTACTCGAAGCTCCCTGCGTCCCCTGAACTCCCTGTGTTGTACGTCGAGGCTCTTGGGGTCGAGCCGGATGGTTGTTGGTCACCAGCTTCCTGTTCTGCTGCTTCTCAACTGCAAGGGCCCTTTTTGTATGCCTCAAAAACAGTTCATAATGAATGGAGGTTGAGAACATCTTGCAACGATTGACGCAAGCCTGCCATATATCAAGCCACAAGCTGCTCCTCCAATTCAGACAGACCGTTGCTGGCAATCAACTGGTAGAATTCTTCGGTGTAATTATCAACGGACCTTGTTCCCTGCCTCAACGTATGAAGTTGTTGAAATAGGGTTTGTGTGTATCCGAAGGGAAGAAAGTGTGCCCTCATCTTACCCTTCATCTTCTACCAATCATTGATCTTTGGCTTGCCCATCTTCTCACGAGATCGCCGCATCTGTTCCCACAATGCAGAGGCTCGTCCATGGAGTTTGATCGCCACGAGCTTCACTTTGTCACGATTAGGAACATCCTTATACTCAAAGATCCGATCCACCTTGTTCAACCAGTCAATGAAATCATCGGCCTGCAGGGTTCCTGAAAAACTAGGGATTTCCATCGTAAACCCTAGCCCTCCGTGGTAGTCATCACGGACACGAAAATCACGACCGCGAGGTTCGCGATGATACGGGTTCTCGAACGATGATCGGGAGCCGTGATCTGACTCCTCATGATCTGATCCTCCAAATCTCGCACCGTCAGGTGCCGTGTGAGTTCCGTGATCTGCTGCTGCATAACCTCGTTCTGCCGCTGTAGATCTGTTATCACCTCCACATTGTCAAGGTGTTGCTCTCGTCGGGGGGGGGGGGGGGTTCGTTACCCATAGGTTGCCCACGGCCGCAACCTCGTGCACGCACCATTGATGTTGAAGGATGTTCTTCCTTTATTCATCGAACTAGGCTCTGATACCAACTAACGCCGAATTAAATCAAGGCGTAGGGCTAGAACGAGAAGAACGACGAAAGAAAGGGAATGATTGAAACGCTAGGGGAAGATTTCTGCTCTAGGTATAGGAAATATTCTCAAATAATGATAGTCTGAATGAAATATGCCCACAAGCCGGCTATAAATAGCTGAAAAACGAAGTGATTGAAACCCTAGAAGATGTAAGACAAAATGGGCCTAAGAATACAAATAAATGGGCTAACTAAAAGATAGGCCAAAGGCCCAAAGACACAAAAACTGAAAAATGAAGGCCTTAACAAGGAGTTCACGTCCGGATCCTCTCCTGCATCAAATAGGCTTCTTGTAGATCCCCAAGGTCTCTAATACCCAAACCCCCCTCATTGATAGGCAAGCATAGGTCTGGCCACTTTTTCCAATGATATTTAGGCTTCCCACATTTTGAACCCGAAAAATAGTTACTCATCATTCTCTGGAGAGCATTGACTGTGGCTTTGGGAAGGGAGTACACAGAGATGATGTGAATTGGAATGGAGGACAGAACATGCTTGATCAAGATGAGTCTCCCCATGGGGTTCAAAGTCTTACTGTACCAACTCTCAATATAATTGGAGAAGTGTCTAGTCAAATCCCCACATGCTTCTTTTCTGAGGATGCCTTTGCAGATAGGAGCTCCCAAATATGTAAAAGGAAGTTTATTACATTTAAACCCAAGCAGATTCTAAATCTTTTCAATGCCCTTCTGCCTTATGCCTTTGCCACAATAGTATTTACTCTTGCTCAGATTAATTTCCTGACCTGAGGCATTGAGATAAGTTCTGAGAAGATTTTTCAGTTTAAGCAAGTTGTTTGTGCCCCCGTTGCTAAAAATGATGATGTCATCAGCAAAAGCTAGATGGCTGATAAGTAGGTTCCTCCCTGTGTTGTAGTTTATGAGATGAGAGTTGATCGTATTTTTATGCAGCATTCTAGACAGACCCTCACTTGCTATTATGAATAGCAAGGGGTATAGGGGGTCACCCTGCTTGACCCCTCTCTTCATAGAGAAATAGCCTTTAGGGCTTCCATTGATCAGGACAGAAATGAAAGTTCCCTTTAGATTAGCAAGAAGCATCATAATCCCTCTTTGCAAGAAAGGGGCTAGGCAGGTTCAGAATGAGAATCTTCTACACCTGTAGTTTAAGAAGGCTTAGCTTGAAGCATGGCTTGCCGTTTCAATAAGGATAGATCTAATTGATAAAGCCGCTCGACCTATTTATTGAAACATTGAAACTATGATTATGCTCTGAAAACCCTAGTTTATCCAGCACCCCCTAAATATAGGTCCATTCCATGTTATAAAATGCTTTAGCCATGTCAATTTTGAGTATGACATTAACACCTCTGATATTTGAATCTAACTTGTGTACCATTTCTTCCACCAAAAGAATCTGTTCATCAACACCCTTGCCTTTTTGGAAACCAGTCCGTTTAGAGGAGATGATTTTAGGAAGTATAGCTTGAAGCCTATCAGCCAATATCCTAGTGTTGATTTTGCTCATGAAAGTAGAAAGAGAGATAGGCCTGTAGTCCCCAAAACACTTAGAATTGTCCTTCTTAGGAATGAGGGTAATGAATGTGCTGCCATAGCATTTTGGGATAGGGATTCCAATGAAAAATTCCTGGGTGGCACTAATGACATCTTCCTTGATGATGTCCCAGCACGCCCTAAAGAAAAAGCCATTGAATCCATCAGGGCCAGGGGCACTGTTTGGGTTTAGACTCCAGACAGCTTCCTTAATTTCCTCAGGTGTAGGGATTTTACTGATTAACATGTTGTCTTGATGGATAAGAGCTTGCTCAAGATAGTCTAGAACTTGTTCCATAGTGACTGTTTTCCTTTTGTTAAAGAGGTTGGTGTAGAATTCAATTGCCAGATTTTGAATGGTTTCCAAGTGAGTGTGTTCCTTTCCCTTGTCATAAAAATTCTTCTAATTTGGTGCTTGGCTCTCCTCCCCTTGACAAAGGCATGGAAAAACTTGGAATTACTGTCCCCCTCCTCCATCCACTTAACATTTGCTTTCTGCTTCTAAAACTCTAGTTCATCATTAGTTGCTAAAATTAGCTGGGCTTTGGCTTTGTTTTCCTTCTCTCTATTTTCCATGGTAGGATTCTGTTCATAGATCTCCTGAGCTTGAATAGCTGCTTCTTCTGCCAACTTGAGATTATTGAAAATATTGCCAAAAGTGTTATTATTCCAATCTTTGATCTTGCTTTTGAGTCCTTTGAGTTTCTTAGCTAGGCCAGCCATTCCCCCATGCTGATTTCTCTTATCCCAAGAGGTTTTAACCAGCTCAATAAATGGGTGATGATTCAACCAAGCGTTAAGAAATCTGAATGGTTTAGGTCCCCCCAAAAGGTCCTTTTTACAAATAAGAAGGATAGGCTTGTGATTTGAGCTGGTTTTGCTAAGATGTTTGATACAAATATCCTCATAATCCTCCATCATGTGGTTGTTAACTAGAGCCCTATCAAGTCTCCTCAAGACCCTGCCAGAGCTTCTGTTACCAGACCAAGTGAAAATAGAGCCAATGGTAGGGGGGGTTAAAAGCCCACAGGATTCCAAGCAATCTTTGAACTCCTCCCTATCTTTTTGGAGAGGCAGATTTTCACCACTGTGTTCTGAGAGTTAAGCTATAACTTTGAAATCTCCTCCCACAATCCACTTACTCATGGGGATGAGATTTACTAGGTCTTCCCAAAGGTCCCTTCTGTCCTTAGCATTGTGTTTCCCATATACTGTTGTAATTCTGAAGCTTTCCTTAGAGGAGGTGTCCATAAGGTCACAATTAACCCACTGATCATTTTCCTGTAAGTTGGTCATGGTAACTCTAAGTTCTGACCAGAAAACCTAAATTTTATTGTTAGAAGAGGCATAGGACTTATTGAATCCCAGATCTTTTCCTTATTTACTAATCTGGGAGGCTGAAACAATAGGTTCAATAACAGCAAGGAAGTTAATATTATGCTGATTTCTGTAAGCTTTGATCCTTTTGAGAGAGGATCTAACTCCACAAACATTCCAGAAAAGCACTATCAATAAAGATTAATATTTTTGAAAGCTTTATGCCCCTTATGACTCCTTGTAACAATTGTCATGGGGGGACCAACTTTCTTGCTTTTTTTCTTCCTTGGGACAGAAATGGGGGTTGGATTTTCATCAGGAAGGTTAAAGTGCTGCGGAGCCAAGTCAGAAGAGTCCATAACATCTTCAATATTATCATCATCTGAGTGTCTACCCACCTCTCATAATGTTTCTTCATGGTCTGATTGAGTGGTAAGGTTTATTTCTTCCACAAGCCCAGCCCCCTTTCAGGGGTATGTTTGAATAGACAGTCATGCAATGAGTAGGAGTGGGAGACTTTACTTTCCTTTAATATTCTAAAATCTGTGGTCATCTCCTTCGTGTAGCTCTTATTGTGTGGGACAGATTTATAGTAGTAGTCCTTTGCTTCTTTGAGGGATGGAAAAGGTGCCCAATTTTTAACCTCAGTAAATAAAATTGGGTTGGGTTGAAGATCAATAATTTCCTGTAAAGGGGACAGAGACTGACCTTTTTGCAAGGGGCTGGTACTTGGACCCATCTCAAGGTCCAAAAGGTCCAGAGGGGTGTATTTATTATTTTGGGGTATAGTAGTTTTGATTTTCCATGCAAATTTCCTGGGCCCACTTTCCACTTTCTTGTGTCCACTCCTGATGGCCGGTTTCCCCATTTTCCCCTTTGTCTTCTTACTCTGAAAAACAACCCAGGAATCTTCCTTCTCCTTGCTGGACCCCTCTTTACCCTTGCCGGAGGGAGATTGTTAGGTCCTTCATATTTAGTACATGGGTTGGCGTTATTTTTGACAACACACAATCAGTAGTTTAGTGTAGAAGTGTCCTCATGATAGTAGAATTGTGTTGTTAGCATTATTGGTCATCCTATCTGGACAAGGACGCTAGGACGCTATGCTGGAAGACATCTGCTCAAGCTAAACAAAGGATTCCTGGTCTGTCAAGTAACTGGTTTAATCAATGACTCCTCCCTGGATTAAACGAAGTAGTATGCGCAAGAGTTCTAGAGACAAAAGGTTAGGGTTTCATCCCATGCTAATCCAGATATATAAATACGAGATTGCAGCTTGGCAGATGGTGCACGAGATTAAACACATTCGACTAAAAGAGAGTACTTACACAGAGAGTTGAGTTATCGAAGAAAAAGAGCATATCATATATATTCACGTAAGGTTACAATGAGAAGATCAGCCATGGATCTTCTCTGAAGTTTTGTTCAGCTTGTGCATCGTGAGAGGCTGAGCAAGGTCAAGAACACATCCTTATTGCAGAGCAACGAGAAGGTGTAATAGGCCTGGTTTGACGACAAACAGAGTTTGGAGTCTGATCACGTAAGTAGACAAATTCGTTCAATAGAAGGATCTGTTGAATCTGATTATGTAATTCTTATGATGATCTAGTGGAAAGGCTATTACACGGATGTGGGCCTCGCAGACGTAGGAGAGTTGGCTCCGAACTGCGTAAACAAATCTTTGTGTCTTTGCTTGTTTTCGTTTGTTCTGAATTGGTGTTAGAAAAGGTGTTGTAGCATTCTGTGAAATTTGCTTGTTGCGCTACAACAGAATTTCCGACCATCTCCTGCTGTGTTAAGTGTGTGAGTGTCTGTGATTTATATACTGTGCTGTGTGTGTGGAAATTTCATTCCGGTGGGAAGGGAGACTTTAGACTGGTTGTGAAGGGTCTGATGATGACCATAGTTATCACGGCGTCGCCTAGTCGTCGCCTAGGCGTCGCGACGCCCTCTTGATCTCGCCTTGATGATTAGACTCGCCTTACTTTCAAGTCCTCGCCTAGGCGTCGCTTTTCCGACGACTTGGCGTCCAGGCGCAGCGCCTATGTCGACTTACACCGTCGAATTCCAGATCTGAAAGGGGAAGAAGACCCTACGATCGCTAAATCCTTCCGGATCAGATGCGAGAGAGCCGAGAATTAAGATGCGACCCGACCCGACCCTTCAATTTTACGGAATTCCCAGCGACTACCGACTTGTATTCCCGACTTTGGACTTTTGACTTTTCAGATTCTAAGTACCCGGCCAGTAGCACTTCTTATTTTCCTTTAAAATTAACCCTATATGTATATTTGCTTTAATTAGAAGATGTCTTCTATTAGTGTTTTCATTTTTTATTTTCTATTTTTGAAAAAAACATATAATATAATATAATATAATATAATATAATATAATATAATATAATATAATATAATATAATATAATATAATATAATATAATATAATATAATATAATATAATATAATATAATATAATAATGTACACAAAGGAATATATATATATATATATATATATATATATATATATATATATATATATATATATATATAAATATATATATATATATATATATATATATATATATATATATATATAATTTGTCGCCTAATTGTCGCCTAGGCGCTCGCCTAGGCGTCATGGCGATCCATTGGCGCCGCGCCTCGCCTTGGCGCCGTGATAACTATGATGATGACCCAACAAAGAGCATTGAGTACACAATTGGGGCTTATCCTCAAAAGTGCAGTTAGTGAAAATGTCCTTGCCCCCTATTCTGTTATGTAATTTAGAAGGGGCTGGAACAGATATATCCAATTCAACACATATTCTGGCCCCCTCCCGTCTATCTTTATTAACAGTGTAGTCATCCATTTTAACAGGCCTACCCAACAATGAAGCTATAGAGAAGAGTGCTTGATAATCAATGAGATGGAGAGGCAGATTGTCCAAAGAGACCCAGACAGGATATATTGGAGAATCTGACAAGCGGCTGAAATCCCTAGTCCATTTAAAGACATAAAATGAAATGCCATTTACATACCATGTCTGGTGTAATCTTCTTCCTTTCTGAATGTGAATAAGTTGTCCCTGGAGTTGATTTTTCTGATCTTGAATGGTCCAAAACCCAGCTTAACAAGGAAATTTTTGATGATAGAAAGATGGATGACTTGTGTAAACCTCCCTAGAGCTGAAAATTGCATTTTATTCGCTAGGATTTCTTCTTCTTGAGAGAAACTGACTGTTGTATCTTAGCTTTGGGTGTTTTGAGGGATACAGTGGTTTTAAGATTGCAGGAGGGTGATAGTCGATTATCTAAAAGAAATAATCGATTATTGAAGGGTTCAGTTTCTCGAGGGATTTTGGCGGAGGTTTTCAGAAAGGGATAATAGTCGATTTACAAGGATATGTAAATCGATTATTGATGGCTGCGGATGTTTCACGTGAGTGGATAATCGATTTTACCAAGGGGCAGTTTCAGGGAACGAAAAGGAGGCGTTTTAGTAAAGGGAGATAAACCAAGGAGGTCTAAGAGATATAACACACTCTTATCTTTTCTTGGGGTTGAAATCTAGACTACAATTAAGATATAACACACTTAATGAAATTCAAGAACCTAACACTCACACTTAAGGAAACCAACCTTAAGATATAGAAATTAGAAATTTTAAAACAAAACAACAAGTTGTATTATCTTGAAAATGGGATTACAAAAGGGAAGGTTTGATGTGAGAATGATTTGGTTTATTATGTAGGGAAATATATGGTGGTGGGGGGGGAGTGCATTCGGCCTTGAGGGAGGAAAAACAAAGGATGGGAGAATCTCATGTTAGTTTGGTTTTTAATGAAGCAAAATATATGGTGGGTGAGCTCTCAAACCACAACATGTGTCCCTTGGCCTATTATTGATGTAAATTCGGCCTAGCTTGGGGACATGTGGTCCCAAATGTTGGCTTGTCTATAAACTTAGAAAATGGTTGGTTTCTTAGGCTCTTGTGTTCGGCCAGGCTTCAATGAAAAGAAGGAAAGGGTTCAATAATAATGAAGATATTTTGGATATTTATGAATGTTGAGAATGTGTGGGTCTTGAAAGGTAACCACGGTAGGGAGGGCAGCGGAAATACAAAAATTTAATCTCCCAATAGTGATTACTAGCCCAAGAACACGTACTAAAACTATAGCTAGAGATAGAAACTTATACCTTCTCTGGTAAAGCGGTATGAACGAGAAGTCGAACAAAAGGTGTTGAAGGAGCAAACGTAGCCGTTCAAGCGTACGGCCTCCAACTTTGACAAACGAACAATCTCCGGAGTCTACTATAATCTTTATGCTAGTAAAGATTATAATATTATATTAAACATAAAGATTTAAGAGGGATAATATTAATCATGTATATTAAATAGTAGAAAATATATGAATAATATTTTAAAGAAAATATTATATCAATTTTCTACACCCAAAATAATAACTTTGGAACTCAAAATGTTTTTCCCCTTTCTCTCTCTACTTGGCCGAAAACCTCTTCATGAGGAAAGTGAATGAGCTTTCATTTTATTAAAGTATAAAAGGCAATAACAATAATAAAAAGACAAAACACTTTTGTCAAAGTGTCCTCCATTCATTTCAAAAGTGGGAGACAAGCTCCACTAAGTGTATGTACGAAATGGTGAGGGGGAGGAATTTAATTCCTCTCCTCTCAAATGTTCAAAGTGTATTTTATTTGACATCAATAATTTTTATGATATAAAATAAAATACCCAAAACATTTTAAAACAAGTATATAAAATATACTTTAAAATAGTTTTTGTCAAAATAACTATTTTCATAATTAAAATGACACTCCAAAATAAAATATACTCCAAAACATATTTTGATATATGTATTGTTGTTATTACTACACCGTACGTACGCATATAAGTAATAATGCATACATAAATATGCACACCACCATACATACATATATATGATGTAAAAGTATAAAAGTTTACTAAATTGTAAACGTGATATACACATATATATACATTATTATTATAACAAAAAAAAGTACGTACTAGGTAATAAATACATATACAAAATATATTTACATATTTTATTTTATTATTTTACAATATACAAATTAAATATTATCCCTTTTTATAATCCTACTCTTTAAATTGTCCAAAGTGTGTGACCCATATAAGCACTTATAAAACTGGCCACAGTATTGACTCTACACCAATACTATAAGTAATAAGCGGTATCTAGCAACACATTATTACCCCCATATTATAAGTTTAGACGTTTGCTCCGTCAAAACCTTTCTACGACTAAGACTTTGTATAACGTAGATCCTTTTGTCCCAATGACTTAACTTAGTGCAAGGGATATAAAATATCCAACTTGTAGCCATTAAGTTATTTACTGATTAACAAGTCTGACTGATGAGAACAGATGTCTAAACTCATCTCAGCATGGCCATGCATTTCTTCAGTCATACTTATCAGTGGGCCCCTACAAGACATTATTCTGCTTGAGTAGCAGTGACAAATTCTTTGTACGTAATCTACGTCTTCGAATACGTGCAGTGGCATGCCCANTCATACGGCTTAGGACAATGAATCAAAGCATGCGGGTTCACACATTCGAAGAACGTAATACTTCAAGTCTGAGGATCGTTATACCAATAGTCGCATTAAGGACACTTAGAGCATAGACTAAAAGTCTAGGCAATGTCCTTAAGGTGGGTCAGGTCTGGCATCCTATTATTAACGATAATATCTGCCCGAGAGTAGATGCGAACACTCCGTCATTGACCAAGAGACTAGGTTATTAACTCTCACTAGTCTCACACGCATTAACGATATCCCGCTCTCGTTAATGCTTCGACTATAGACCGTTCAGAATTATACTAAGTGACAAGATGTCAGTCTCAACATCAGAAAACTCATTCTGATAAACATCTTATAATATAATTCTAGGAATGCAATTAAGAGTTTACATTAGCATGAGATGTTTGTAAACTTAATGCATCTGCCTTTACATGATAGAAAATATCTAAGATATTACAACAGCAGTTGGCCATAAGGGCACCAACTCCAACAATCTCCCACTTGCACTATGGCCAATCTGGCATCGTTCGAATGCCCATTGACCTAGTGGGACCCTCATGCTTTAGCTTTCCCAATGGCTTGGTCAGGGGGTCGGCAATGTTGTCGTCTGTTCCTACTTTGCAAATCTCTACATCACCTCTGTCTACGATTTCTCGTATGATGTGATAACGTCGTACAATGTGCTTGGTCTTTTGGTGAGATCGTGGTTCCTTTGCCTGTGCAATGGCCCCAGTGTTGTCGCAGAACAACGGGATTGGGTCATCAATGCTAAGAACCACTCCAAGTTCAGAAATGAACTTCTTTATCCAAACACCTTCCTTTGCTGCTTCAGCGGCAGCCATGTACTCAGCCTCTGTAGTTGAATCGGCGGTTGTGTCCTGTTTAGAACTCTTCTAGCTAAAAGCTCCGCCATTCAGGCAAAACACATACCCTGCTTGTGACTTGTAATCGTCTCGATCGGTTTGGAAGCTCGCATCAGTGTAACCGATCACTTTCAGCTCTTCCTCACCTCCATATACCAGGAATGCATCCTTAGTATTCCGAAGATACTTTAGGATGTTTTTGACCGCTGTTTAGTGTGCTTCACCTGGATTCCCCTGGTATCTGCTGGTCACGCTTAAAGCGAATGAGACATCAGGTCTAGTACATATCATGGCATACATGATGGAACCAATTGCAGAAGCATATGGGACCTTCATCATGAGTTCCTTCTGCTCGGGACTAGAAGGACTCTGGCTCTTGGAAAGAGCCGTGCCAGGTAACATAGGTAAGGATCCCTTTTTCGAGTTAGACATGCTAAATCGATCAAGGACCTTATCTATATATGTACTTTGACATAGACCTATCAACTTTCTTGACCTATCACGGTAGATTTTTATGCCAAGGGCATAACTAGCATTCCCTAAGTCCTTCATGGCGAAGTTCTCGCTCAACCAAGTCTTTACAGATGTGAGAGCAGGAACATCGTTACCCATTATCAATATGTCATCGACATATAACATTAGGAATGCTATCACACTCCCACTGACCTTCTTGTAAACACAAGACCCGTCAGAATTCTTCTCGAAACCAAAACTAGTGATGGTTTCATCAAAGCGTATATACCAACTCTGAGATGCTTTTTTCAATCCGTAGATTGACCGTTGCAGCTTACAGACTTTGGCAGATTCACCAGCAATTGTAAAACCGTCAGGCTGTGTCATATAGACATCCTCTTTGAGGTTCCTATTAAGGAAAGCCGTCTTGACGTCCATCTGCCAAATCTTGTAATCGTAGAATGCTGCAATCGCAAGCATTATCCGAATGGACTTCAGCATCACAACTGGAGAAAAGGTCTCATCATAGTCAATTTCATGGATTTGTCTATAACCTTTTGCTACCAATCTAGCTTTGAAGGTATGAACCTTCCCGTCTACGTCTGTTTTCTTTTTGAAAATCCAATTGCACCCTATGGGTATTATCCCTTCGGGCGCATCAACCAAGGTGCAGACTTGGTTTGTGTACATAGACTCCATTTCGGATTTCATGGCATTAAGCCATTGTTCGGATTCGGGGCACGTGATTGCCTCGAGGTAGGTCTTAGGTTCGCCTTGGTCTACCAGCAAGACGTAACCTTCATCAGATACAAGGAAGCCGTATCTAACCGGAGGATTACGCATCCGGTCTGACCTCCTTGGTAAAATCTGAGCCGGTCGAGATACTAAATCTTGACGCTCGGGTTCCACTCCTATTGAGATCTATTTTTGTGGTTCTCGAATTTCTTCGAGGTCTACCTTTCTCCGACTAGAAATAGCAGAAACTCCTTCTCAAGGAAGGTTCCGTTCCGAGCAACAAAGATTTTGTTATCGGTCGGATGATAGAACTCATACCCTTTCGTTTCCTTAGGGTATCCCACAAATTTACACCTGTCAGATTTGGAATCCAGCTTACCAGACATCATGAGGCGTCTAACGTAAACATCACAACCCCAAATCCTCAAGTACGACAAATTTGGTTTTGTCCCACGCCATAGCTCGTATGGTGTGCTCTCAACAGCCTTAGATGGTACGCGATTGAGTGTGTGTGCGGAAGTTAATAGTGCTTTTCCCCAAAAGGACTCTGGTAATGTTGTCAGACTCATCATACTCCGAACCATATCGAGCAGCGTTCGGTTTCTCCTTTCAGACACTCCATTTAATTGGGGTGTACTGGGAGGAGTCAGCTGGGATAGGATCCCGTGCTCTTTTAGATAGTCGTCGAACTCCAGGCTTAAGTACTCACCTCCTCGATCCGAGCGGAGGGTCTTGATACTTTTGCCTAATTGTTTCTCTACTTCGTTTCTGAATTCTTTGAACTTGTCAAAGCATTCCGATTTGTGTTTCATGAGATACACATATCCATACCGGCTGAGGTCATCAGTAAATGTTACGAAGTATGAGAAACCACCTCTAGCTTCAGTGTTGATTGGGCCACATACATCAGAGTGTTTGAGGCCTAATACATCACTCGCCCTTTCATCGTGACCGGTGAATGGAGCATTTGTCATTTTACCGAGTAAACAAGATTGGCATACATCATAAGACTCGAGGTCAAATGAATCAAGTACGCCAGAGTGACGTAACTTAGATATGCGTTTCTCGTTAATGTGGCCCAAACGACAATGCCAAAGGTATGTGAGATTCAAACTGTTTGGTTTGCTTCTCTTAACATCTACGTTATAAACAGTGGCGTCTAAGTCTAAGATATAAAGACCATTGGTCATCTTAGCAGTTGCATAGTAAATATCATTTCTGAAAACCGAAAG